AGATTGAAACCTTGCCTTGCCTTTCCTGTGCCATTCTCACAGTCTCTGCCATGGTCAAGTCCACTGCTGCAGTCACTGTGTCAAGCTGATAGAAGGCCTTCCTCTCTTTCATTGACCCTCCACTTTACCAAGCATGCTGTCTTCTTTTTAAGGACTAGTGTCTCTTGGCAACATGTTGAGAGGATGTGAGGAGAAGTTTTCCCATCCTTCCCTCTAAGGAGCACCCTAACTTTGCTCTCTTCAAGACAGATTTATTTGTTCTTTTGGAAGTCCATGGGATATTCAATACGCTTTACCGATACCACAACTCAAAAGGAAAGGATCAATTCTCTCTCCCCCCGCTCCATACTTCATAACCTGATTTTAAAAACCATCTCAAGAACAGGTTTGAGGCCTTGTACACTATTGAATGAAGACTAGATGAACTGTGGGACAGTATTAAGAATATCACTCATGATGAATGCAAAAGGTCATTACAAAGGCAGAGGAGAAGCCAAAGCAAAGGGAAGAAAATAAGAAGTTAAGGAGCTGAACAGGAGATTTCAAAGGGCAGCGAAAAAAGACAAAACAAAGTATTATAACGAAATATACAGAGCTTGAGTCAGAGAATCTAAAGGGATGAACTCGCTTGGCATTTCTTAAGCTGAAAGAACTAAAGAACAAATTCAAGCCTTGAATTGTAATACTTAAAGATGCTATGGGCAAAATCTTGAAAGATCCAGGAAGCATCAAAAGGAGATGGAAGGAGTGCACAGCCATTGTACCAAAAAGAATTGGCAGACACAGAAGAGTTTCATGAAACAATGTATGATCAAGAGGCAATCAATGGTGATGAAGGAGGAAGTTCAAGCTGCTCTGAAGAAATTGGCAAAAAACAAAGCCCCAGGAATTGATGGAATATCAGGTGATATGCTTCAGCAAGCAGAAGCTCCCCTGGATGTGCTCACCAGGTTGTGCCAAGAAATCTCAAGATAGCTACCTGGCAAACTGACTGGAAGAGATCCTTATTTATTCCCATCCCCCCCCCCAAAAAAAAGGGAAAGGTCATCCAACAGAGTGTAGAAATTATCGGACAATATCACTAATATCACATGCAAGCAAAATCTTGCTAAAGATTATTCAATAATGACTGGAATGATATATTGACAGAGAACTACTAGGTGTACAGACCAGATTTAGAAAAGGCCATGGCACTAGGGACATAATTTTCAATGTCAGATAGATATTGTCTGAAAGCAGACAGTATCAGAAGAATTACTATTGTGTTTCATTGACTATGCAAAGCATTTGACTGTCTGGATCAGAGCAAACTGTGGCTAACACTGAGAAGACTGGGAATCCCAGAACACCTGATTGTGCTCATGTGAAATCTATACTTGGACCAGGAGACAATCTTTAAAACAGAGCAAAGAAACACTGCATGGTTCAAAGTAGTGAAAGAAATGTGTCAAGGATGCGTCCTACCCCATACCTTCCCAATCTATGTGCACAACAGATTCTAGAAGCTGGACTTTGTGAGGAGGAATGTGACATCTGAATTGGAGGAAGACTAAAAATAACTTGCGTTATGCTGATGATACAACCTTGCTCACTGAAACTGAGGGAGGATCCGAAATGTTTGCTGCAGAAAGTTATGGACTGCAGCCTTCAATATGGATTGAACCTCAACATCAAGAAAACAAAGTTTCTCATCGCTAGGCTGATTGGTAGCATCACGATAGAAAATGAGGAAATTGAGATTGTTAACAGCTTCAGCATGCTTGGCTCCACTCTTGGATCCAGCAGCCAGGAAATCAAAAGACAAATTGGATTAGGAAAGTCTGCTGTCAGAGACCTCTCCAGAGTACTGAAGAGCAACAATGTCAGTCTGAAGAGGAAGGTGTGCCTGATCCAGGCCATAGTCTTTGCAATTACTTCTCAAAGCAAGTTGTTCTCCGGATGCAAGGATTTTGAAGTTCTGTCTCACATACTTTGGGCATGTTGCCAGAATGGACCAGTCCTTGGAGAAGGACATTATTCTTGGAAGGGTGGAGGGACAAGACAGGAGAGGAAAACCCTGGATGAGATGAATTGCCACAGTGACTTAGACACAATGAGAGTGCATAACAACATATGTCCTTACAAGCACCCCTTCTTCCTCATCTCCCTGCTTTTCTTCATAAATAACCATGAACCTAATTTTGTGTTCAGCATTTTTTCACTATTTTCTTTGCTTTATCACATATGTGTAACAATTTTTCTTACTTTGGACCTTTTCTTGGTTCTCGTACTATACCATCTCCAGAAACTTGCTCTCACCCACTTAGTCATATCTGAATGATTCTTCCACTTAGCTCTGTACAATCCATGTTGTTGCATGCCACTGTGTAGTTCATTTATCTTCATGGTGCGAATATGACACAGTTAATTTAGTCTTTCTCTTGATATTGGGCATTAGGGTTGTTGTTGTTGTTTATGTGCCTTCAGGTTGCTTGTGACTCATATCAACCCTATGGACAACAACTCTAAACCCTGCTCTATGTTGAGCCAACTTCATTGTCTCTAACACACCTACCCCATTCCGCCAATCACTGAGTCAATACATCTCATCCAGGATCTTCCTCTCTTGCATTGTCCCTCTACCCTCCCAAGCATGATGTCCCTCTCCAAGAGCTGGTCCCTTTTTGTAACATTCCCAAAATATGTCAGATGGAGTTTTAGAATCTTTACCTCCAAGGAGCAGCCTGCCCTTTCCAGGACAAACCTGTTTGTTCTCCTAGAAGTCCACAGAATATTCAATTCTCTTCTCCAGCACCACAGCTCAAAAGCGTCAATTCTTCTGTCATCCCTAGTCATTGTCCAGCTTTCTGATGCATATCAAGTAATTGTGAAAGACTATGGCCTGGATCAGTCACATCTTACTTTCCAGACTGACCTTGTTCTTCAGCACTTTGGAGAGGTTTCTGGCAGCACACTTGCCCAGTGCAATTCATATTTTGATTTCCTGGCTACTGGTACCAAGAGTGTTGACTGTGGAACCAAGGAAACTGAAGCTGCTAACAACCTCAATGTCTCAACCATTTATAATCATGCTTCCAGTTGGCCTAGTAGTGGGAATCTTTGTTTTCTTAATGTTGAGCTTCAGTCTATATTGAAGGCTGCAGTCCTTGACCTCCTGCAACAAATGCCTCAAGTTCTCCTCAATTTCAGCAAGCAAGGCTGTATGGTGTCATCTGCATAACACAGTTTGTTGATGAGTCTTCCTCCAATCCTGATGCCACTTTCCTCCTCATAGAGCCCATCCATCCATATGATCTGTTCTGCATATAGATTGAAAAATTGGGAAATAGGATGCATCCCTGGTGTATATCTTTGCTTATTTCAAACCAAGTTTTTATTGTGTTGGACCGTATAAGTGTTAATACCCTTTTTGGAAAATTAATTTGTATTAGTTTGCATGTGATCAATGCATATATAGATGATTATATAAAACAAAAAGTATGAATATTCTTACAAACAGTCCTTTTACTCCATCTATGGTCGCCTCTGTAGAGTATATATCTGGGAGCAGAATTGGCCAGTCATATGGCACACAAATCTATTGTTTTGTAAGATATTGCTAGTTTATCCTCTCTAGTATCTGCTCATATTATACTCCCACCGTATTCGTGACAGTTTCTGTTGCCCTCATCCTCCTCAACAATGATTTTAAGCACACTGTTCTTCATTCCATTAGAAATCTTACAATGGCTACAGAGGTGAAATCCCAATTTACTGAACATCCACCGATGAGGTAAGGTACCAAATGCCTACACAGACAACTAAGGAGTGGTGACAGGCACAGGAAATACGGCAAAGGTGAAAGATGAACATGATCTTCGTGGAACTCAGTAGACTGGGCCTCCAGGAGAGGCCATCTTCTCCTACCTTCCACTGTCATCTACTGGGCCCCAGTGGATTCCCAGACCCAGAAAGCTCAGGTCATGGGTTGGGAGGTGGCCTGAAGACAGGGAGATGGGAGTTCAAGCACAGAAATCTCAGGGTTTTTCAGAAGACATGTTCCTATGTTAGTTGTGGGTAGAGGAGACCAGCTAACTGTGAATTTCAGAAAAGGTTTGCTTTATTTCTTTAAGTCATGGCTCCCTTACAGGCAAATGAAGGCTGGAACTGCAAACTCAGGAGCCTGGTCAGCTAAGTCCTCAGAGAATCTTGAGACAGCCCGCCTTGCTTAGTGTATCCAGAGTCCACTCCAGAGGGTGTCCCTTCAGTCAGAGCCTCTGGGAGAAGGGAGTGGAGACAATGCGCAGGCAGGTGGTCCAGACAAGTCCGGATGGGGGAACTTGCCCCTTTGCATCCTTCCTTACTTCTTCTACTGGCAGGTATAGATACAGAGATGTGGGAGGGGTGGAGAGTAGAAGCTAGGGAACCTGAGAAGGCTTCTCAACAACGAAGCAAGAGCGTGAAGCTTCCCTGTAGCGTCTCAGCCCTGACAGACGCTTCCCCAGGGCTTCATCTGTGATCAGGCCTGAAGTTTGCTGTGTGACCTGGCCTTGGTTTCAACTTTCAGCACCTGGATGCTAGACTGGGCCAAGACTGCCCCTGAGGGCAGGGGAAGGGTTACAGCTGGCTTATCCTGGGCTGCCAACAGCTTGGCTTGGGAAGAAGCTTTTGCTGGGGTCAGTTCCTTGTCCCTGGAGTGTATATAAAATATCTTTACACTGATCTCAGTTATTTGAATGTGTAAGTAGGTCTGTGGCTTATTCTCTGACTTTAGATATGGCTTTAGGGGTTTGGGGAGGGAAATGGGGTTCCAGGAGGTTCTATCCAGATTCTCTCAAACACATCCTAGCTTCTTGCCAAAGCATCTCAGGATGGCAGATGAGTTACCAGCACTTGTCACATCTTGGGACAGCCTTGGATACTAGGGGTTTTAGCAAAGCACTGGAAACCAATCAGCGTCTCTCAGGAATGGGCTCTGTCATGAGGTCTGCGCTCCACACACTTTTCCTTTGGTCCTTCAGTCCAAAGGCTGAGTTGAGCCCTGGGAAGAAGCCAGGAAGCAGGCCACAGAATCACAGGGACAGCAAGCTACAGAAAGAGCCAGTGGTTCCAGGCATCGTGGATTTCAAGCTGACCAATGAGTCAGCGAGGACTCCCAAGATCCAAAGCCCTAGTACCTACCGCTTTGGCTGCCTCAGCCATCACTCCTTCTTCTCCCGGCACCACCCTCACCCCCAGCGCGTGACCCACATTCAAGGTAAGGCCAGAACACCAGGGCCCTGTTCCTAGTGGGTGGGAGGGATTCCTGATTGGTCTAAGAGCTTCTTCTTGGTGTTGTTAAGTGCCATCGAGTCATAGGCAACTCATAGCAACCCTATGAATGAGAGTCCTCGACTCTTGCGTGCATGATTTTCATCCTTTCTCCAGGTTCATAGGGTTTCCGGAGGCAAGCTATTTATGGAAGCAGATGCCACTCTTGCTTCTAGTTTCTGAGAACTGTTGTTGTTCTTATGTGCCCTCCAGTCCCTTGCGACTCATAGCGACCCTATGTACAACAGCCCTAAACTCTGCTCTATCCTGTGCCAATCACACTGTCTCTGACAGACCCATCCCACTTACCCCAGGTACTGAATCAATCCACCTCATAGAGGGTCTTCCCTTCCTGCGCTGTCCCTCCACCCTCCCAAGCATGATGTCCCTCTCCAAGGACCTGTCCCTCCTTACAACATGTCCAAAGTATGTCAGACGAAGCCCCAGAATCCTTGCCTCCAAGGAGCAGCCTGGTTTAACCCTCTCCAGGATGAATCTGTTTGTTTTCTTGGCAGTCCAGGGTATATTGAATACTTTTCTCCAGCACCACAGCTCAAAGGCATCAATTCTCCTTCTATCCTCCCTAGTCATTGTCCAACTCTCTGATGCATAACAAGTGATTGCAAAGACCATGGCCTGCATCAGACACACCTTTGTCTCCAGAGAGACACCGTTGTTCTTGAGTACTTTAGAGAGCTCCCTAACAGCAGACTTTCCCATTGCAATACGTTTTTTGATTTCCTGGCTGCTGGTGCCAAGAGTGTTGACCGTGGAGCCGAGCAAACTGAAGCTGTGAACAATCTCAATCTCTTTGCCATCTATCCTGATGCTGCTAATTGGTCCGAAAGGGAATTATTTACCCAGCCCCTCATGCTAAGACCCCAGAGATAATAAGAATTTGGTCAAGGTCACAGAGCTACAAAGTGGTCAAGTTTGACTCAAAGCCAGTATTTCTGTTTGGCAGTCCAGTTTCCTACACTGAGATATGCAGGCTTTAAGAGCAGGGCTCATGTCCCCTGCAGATTCTGCCCATTTTAGAAATCACAAAAACCAAAGAAACCCAGTTCCAGAGCTTTACTCTGCTGTCTCGATCAGGCTGCTTCATCCACTTGGATATTTGCCCACCAATTCTTACTGAGTGTGGACTAAGGGCCAGGTACCTTCTTGGTCCTTGAGGGTGTGGCAGTGAACAAAACAGAGGACTTGTCCTTGTGCAGTTGATCTTCAGTGGGGAAGACAGGAAATCAAGACGATGCTAGAATGGCTGAATGCCACAGCTGGGGTGTGGAGGTTGTCATTCCTAAAGGCAAGAGAAGGTCTACCAATTATATGACATTTGAGCAGGGAACAAAGGAAAGAGAAGACTGAACAGGAAGTGACTGAATGGTGGCTTGCATGGAAAAGGAGAGTACCAGTAAAGGAGTTATTTAGTCATTTTATTCTAAAAATACACAAAAGATAAAGCGAACAAGTTTGCTGATATTTTGCAGATGAGGGGTCAAGGAATCTAGGGGTCAACGTTTCTGACCTTTGAGCAACTGTTGTGGTTGTTGTTATGTGCTATTGAGTTGATAGTGACTTATAGCGACCCTATGTACAACAGCTATGAACTTTGATCTATCTTGAACCAAACTTATCTTTGATACACCCACACCCATTACTTCAGTCACTGAGGGTCTTCCTCTCCTGCACTGATACTTCCTCCCAAGCATGATGTGTCCCTCTCTAAGGACTGGTTACTCCTTGCAACATGCCAGAAGTATGTCAGATGAAGATTCAGAATCCTTGCCTCCAAGGAGCAGCCTGGTTTTACCCTCTCCAGGACAAGCCTGTTTGTTCTCCTAGCAGTCCATGGTATATTCAATACTCTTCTCTAGCACCAAAGCTCAAAGGCATCAACTCTCCTTCTATCATCCCTAGTCATTACCTAGCTATTTGCATAGCAAGTAATTGCAAAAACAAGGGTGTGGATCAGGCACGCCTTAGTCGCCAGACTGACATCATTGCTCTTCAGTACTCTGGAGAAATCTCTGACTGCAGATTTTCCCAATGCAAGTAATTTTTTTAATTTCCTGGATGCTGATACCAAGAGCATTGATTGTGGAGCCAAACAAACTGAAGCTGTTAATAATCTCAATCTCTTCACCATCTATCATAGTGCTGCCATTTGGCCCAGTGGTAATATTCATTTGTCTTTTTTTGTTGAGCTTCAATCCATCTTGAAGGCTGCAGTTCTTGACCTTCTGTAGCAAGTGCTTCAGGTCCTCCTCAGTTTTAGCTAGCAAGATTGTGTCATCTGCATAATGCAGTTTGTTGACGATTCTTCCTCCAGTCCTCATGCCACATTCCTCCTTCATAGAACCCAGCCTCGTGCACAATCTGTTGTGCATATAGATTGAAAAGGTATGGAGATAGGACACATCCCTGGCATACACCCTTCCCAATTTTAAACCACGCACTATTTCCTTGCTCTGTTCTGATGACTGCCTCCTGGTCCAAGGAGGTTGTGCGTAAGTGCAATAAAGTGTTCTGGGATTCCCATTCTTCTTAGAGTTAGCAACAAGAAAGCAACAATTGAACTTGCTGAGGCAAAGAAGTGGGGGTGGAAGGGTGAGGCATCCTCAAGGGAGCGAAACCAGGAACTGGGTGTTGGACGTGTAGGATATGGAATATGAGCTGCCCATTAGGCAGCTGGGTGCAAGGTAAGCTGCTGGATCAGGAGCCAGGTGTGGTGCAAGTGTGTAATGCTTTAGGGTAGAGATGGTGTTTAAAATGCTGGGCAGCAGGAGCAATGATTTTGTAAATTATCATGTAACTTGGGAGGGACTGGAGAGCATTATGCTGAGTGAACTAACTCAGTCCCACAAGGATAAATATCTTATAAAACCATTATTGTAGAATGAGTATAAGGATCCAAGAAGGGTGGGAGAGTTTAGAAGCAGAGGGATGAGGATGTGCGGGGGGGGGGGGTATTAATCATGGGGTTGTACAATTTGATGGGTGGTGGGGGTGAGGAACGTGGAAAGAATTTGTTCTTGAAAACAATGTTTTCAAATTTTGTAAATAAACTGGCAGAAAATAATTTTTAAAAATAAAAAAAGGGGAGAATGCTGTGCTGAATGAAATGGTCAGTCCCACGGTCGGTGTAGGTAGGAGAGCAGGTCATGAGAGCATCAACATTAAGACAGGAGAAGAGGAAGGGAAGGGTAGCATCCTAGGAGCATAAGGAAAGTGGTTCTGGAAGGATAGCAAGTGCAAACATGTCCAGTGCAAATTCTGCTGGTCCTCTGCACATAACTACGGCGTTTACCATGTAGGAATCACTCAGTTCTTGGGCTGGAAACGTCCTTATCAGGAACCTCCTCCAGATAACATCGCACTCAGCATTGTGCAGGGTGTGGGTCTAGCTGGCACTGCCTCTCTGTGGTTTTAGCCCATTCTCAACTCGTCACTGACTATAACTTCACATTCCCACCAAAAGGACATTATGACCAGTGAAACATGGCAAGACCCTCAACAAGATGAATTGACACAGGGACTGTACCAATGGTCTTGAGCATATTGAAGATTGTGAGAATGGCACCTGATAGGGCAATGGCCCGGTCTGTTGTTCATAGGGTTGCAATGAACCAGCCAACTCTATGGCCTGTAACAACAGCCACCCTTGAGTGTTTACAGCAGCAATTCTTTGCTCTGGTAAAGAAAAGAAGGAAATAGGGTCCCAGCGAGTTTGGGCTCTTGTCTCATGTCCACCTTAATTGACTGCTTAATTCTGAGCTTCTGCACAGTAATTTTTGCTTTCCCTTCTCCATGTTAAGTGACACATGGGAAGGGTAAGTGCCTGGTCTGGGCGGTCAGAGCCAAAAGCCCTCCACCCTCAACTCTAACAGTCTATGGATAATGGTTCCTAGACAAAGTGGAACCAATGCCCTCCCTGCCCTCCAGCTTCCTTCCTGCCTCTGAGGTCCATGCAGCGCCCCTTCCCACAGCCCTGTTCCCTCACAGATCTCACCGGCAAGCCCGTCTGTGTTGTCCGGGACAAGTTCTTTATGGCCCCCTCCCCTCTGGCTACATTATCACCTCAGTATCTGATGGGGATGCCCACCATCTCTGCCCCTGTTGGAGACCCACAGTCCAATCGGGATCCTCAGCTTTCTTCTGGTGAGTACTTTGGCCACAAACTACCCCCCACCCCAGGTCTCACCCTGCACTCCAGGAGCTGCCCCAGGTGACCAGGTACCTCAGAGCCTGGGGTGGGGGGTGGGGGTGGGGGTTTGTCATTGCTGCTAGGTTTATAAGGCCAGAGGGGAACCCCACTCTTTTCTTCACCTCTGTGGGTAGACGCATCTCTATATTACTGCCAAGTCCTAGGCTTCAGAAATGCACCCTGATTACATTTGGAGATAAATTTGAAGAGTAATAAGCAGAGTTAGGCAACAATCACGTGGCCTGCAGCTATAGACAGGAAGGCCATTTGAAATATTAATAATGTGTGTGCTCAGACTCCAGGCAGACAGAACAATGAGAACAGTGCTGGAGCAGCACATTCTGGATGCTTCTACACTGCCTTTCCAACTGTGTGGCACAGGGAAGTCAAGTTGAAGGGAGATGGGTGAGTCGGGGACAGTGCAGAACAGAGAGCTTTGGAAGGCATATGGCAGTGACTCTACCTACAACTTACTAGGGAGGAAGTTTAATAACTTGTAGCCCCACATCTGCTCAATCTCAGCCCTGGCTACAGGTACCAAAAAGGGACAAAGCTAGATTGAATCGGACATTCTTGAATCATTTAGTCAAATGTTCTCCAGCATCTCCCAGCGACATCACAGCTAAGACATCACTGCAGTCCCCTAAGAGCAACTGCATATAAACACACATCTTCTACTTCCTAATCCTTCTCTCTGAACGGCAAGGCCCCTTTCTCTTTAAGATGAGCTCAAGAAGGTTGGGATGGAGAGGAGGCATCTCCTCAGCACCCTCATGTCCCCCACACCGTCCAGTATACAGGGAGGGGACAGAAGAGGGTCCCCAGATGTCAGCTGCCAGAATCTTATCCCCTCCTCCCAGAGGCCTGGAAGAGAGAGTTGAGGGACCTGGCTTCCCGGGTGGTTGTCGTGACCAAGAAGAATGAGATGAAGAATCAAGAGGTAGGTGCAAAACAAGTCAACCCACTCGTCTGAGATGAGTTGAAACAGGTCTACCCCTTTGTGATGTGATCCTTTCAGAGTAGGTGCTGCTCAGCCTGGGAAGTCTTTGACCTTAGTGGTGGGGAGGAAGGTTCTGAAGGCAAATGTAAGGGAGGAGGGTCACAGGAGGAAGAGGACATGATGAGGTGGATGTCAATGATATGTAGAAGAGGTGGCATTGAGGGGCCCTCAAATGCAGTGAGTGTTTGCAAGTGAACCAGAAAGCATACTGGACAGAAGTAATGCTGGTCCAAAAGCATGGAAGCTGGTGACTGCTTAGACGAGGGTTTCAGAGGTAAAGTGCAAGTTGTTAAGTGGGCAGCAATGGGGGTAAGAAAGGAAGGGGGCCTGCCTTTGAATGTAGGGGAGCCTGTTCTTAAATTCTGAGTTTCAACGTAGACTGGAGAATTAGTGAAGGTTTTCAAATGGGATGAGAGAGGCCTCCTGAGCATTGTTGGAGATAAAATAGTAAAAAATAGTTGGATGGCAGCTTGACCTTTGTTGGACATGGTCTGAGAACAGGCTTGGACCATGGGGTCTGATCATGCCCCTGATTTGATCAGAAGTCCCTATTGTGTGTCTGATTCACAGAGGGCTCAGGGCCTATCAGCTAAACTGTCTGGGTTTTCATTTTCTTATGTTTAAAATGAGAATATGGATCGGGAGAAGGATGGGTAATCTTCTGACTTGACGGTACACAACAACAATGACCATTCTTAACTGGAATTACTGGGTTGGGAGCTCCAGAGCTCGTACCCAGAGGCCTGGAAAGGGGAAGCTTTCTTTGTGTAGATAAAGGATGCCACACTGCATGGTGGAAAGGACCCAAGAGCATCTAGCAATTGAGGTGAGAGCTTTGCACAGGGCACTGTTTTAAATCTCTCATGGACTGTAGAAAGGTCCAATAGGGAGGCCCTGCCTGGGAGAAAGACTTTCAAGAGGTATCGAACTTTCAAATTTCTGATGCTGACTTCTGGGAGAAAAGGCTATTCTAGTTTAAGCCAGTGAAAGAAGAGGCCTGGAGGCAAGGTGATAAAAGGCTAGGCTGCTAACACAAAGTTCAGTGGTTTGAAACCATAACCTGTGGCAGTCTGCTT